GGAGGCCTGGAAAGGCTTCCAGGGTGCTGCTGGGGCTGTGTGTTGAGCCTGGTGCTAATTGCACAGGTGCATTCAGCTTGTGAAAATTGGTCAAGCCAAGCTGTGCTCTTAGGACCTGTATCTTTTTTATAGGTAAATTCCACTTACACATTTGTTTTTTAGAAAAGAGAAATAAACCCTGGAAGGTATGTAAGTAGTTATAATCTGTGGGTTATGGAAGATTCTTCTTTTCTTCTGTATGTCTACATTTTCTAAAATGAGCCTCTATTACTTCCATTGTCAAACAGTTTTCTTTGGTTTTGCTTGTTTTGAGGTCATTCCTGCTGCCTTCATCAGAGCAGGCTCTGTGATATGTCAGAGCCACCGGCCCACGGCAGGAAGAGGTTCCTGTTCTACGAGGAGGCCTACTTAGTAATTTTGCTCCTCATATTCTGAAACCAGAACTTAAACTCAGGGCACATTTCCAGAAACCGACAGGGCTGACAGTCCTCCAGTGTCCACTACTTTCTTCCTGGGGTGGCAGCCAGGTGTGTTGTCCCAAATGCCATCTTTTCCAGTGCAGGCTCTGACCGTGAGAGAAGCATTCAAAGGCACAGCAAGTCTGCAAAGTCCAGGATGGGATCTTCACTGCTCAGTTCTCCTCTTAAGAGCCTTCCAGCCTAGGAGATAGGGCAAAACCCCATCTACACAAAATACAAAAATCAGCGAGTTGTGGTGGCATGCACCTGTGGTACCAGTCACTTGGGAGGCTGAGGTGGGAGGATCACTTGAGCCCAGGAGACGGACGTTGCAGGGAGGGGTGATCTCACCACCGTACTCTAGCCCGGGTGACAGAGTGAGATCCTGTCTCAGTCTCAAAAAAACCAAAAAGGAGTGAAGCTGTAATTGTCCTTTGTGAACTGGAAAGTGCCAAGGAGAACTGGAAGGAGGCTGGTTGTAAACCTACTCCAAATATGGCTTGTCCCCTGCAGCCTGCCTCTGATTGTCTTCCCTCCAAGTGACCTCTTCTTTGAAAAGCACAGGCCTTTTCCAAGGTCTGGGAAAAATAGCCAAGAAAAGCTCAGGAATGCCTTCTCTTAGGAGTCGACCTTGCCGCCTTTCATGTGGTTAAAGAATTCTCCTTTGAGGGTCCCCTTGTGTAAACCCTTTAATTGCGTAGCTAATATAAACCAGAGCAGAAATGATTCATCCAAGAATTCTTGTTTGGATTCATTACCATTTTCAAAGGGTCCCTCTTTTATCTTGTCTCAGATCAGCTGAATGATGCCCCTGTTTAAAAAGGGCTTAGCAGAAGAGATAACGCATTATCACTTCTTCCCAGCCTAGTGTAGTGGAAGGAGGTTTACTCTAAAGATAATTAAATCTTAACTCCCAATGGGTGAGGAAACCCAGACTTCCGTGAAACAGCTTTTACCCTGCTTGAAGGCCCCACACAGCTGGGATGCCCCAGAGGTCAGAAAGAGGGGTCTTCCCAAAGAGGGGTCTTCCCATAGCATCACCCCACTAAGTTGTGAGTCAAAAAGGGGCAAGTGATAGGGCTTCTCGTTTCAAAATGGAACCGGATCCCAGTATAGATAATGTGCTAAGAGGTTAGGAATCTTCCTACTAGAACTGTGGATTAGCTCAGCTTGATGACGGTAGAAGCAAGATATTATCTGTGTCTGACAAGACTACAGAGAGGTAATCAATAGTCCACATGGGGTGTGGCAGGCACAGAGGTGTGTGGGAGACTCAGATTCCCTTTCACGCTGTGAGGAGTGTGGTTAGCCAACAGCCTCCAAATGAAGACGAGAGCTCATAAATCAGCCTCAACTTTGAAACTAAGATAATATTGTTCCTGGGGTGGCTTCAGCTGGTGACTGAGCAAGACTTCCTGGCCACCTCCACCTGACACGGGAGTCTTTGAACAAGGAAGCTTCACCCCAAGCTTACTGTTGGGGAGGCGGGGGCTCTGTCAGATCCACCACTGTGTGATGGCCCCTCCCAGCCCATCCTCCCTCCTCCCTTTACCTTTCACAGCCATTATCTCCAGCAAACCAATCTCTCCTAGCTCAATTTCAGCATTTCACATGCCCAAATCCCCATTCCCAGAGTTCCCGTGTATCCATCCACCAGCCCCTGAGGGGGGCCCCCACCCTGCTGGAGCTACCATGTGAAAAAAAGAGATCCACTTGGGCTGGGGGCTGGATCTTGGAGGGCAGTTTAATGAATGGCAAGAATGATGTGGAGCGCTGGGAGAAGAAGAATCTTCCTGGAATGGTCCCTATCAAGACGTCCCTTCCACTATATCAGTTCCTAGAGACCCTTAGCCAAGGAAGAGGGGGCACTGTTTTATTGAACAGAATGCCATCCCAGGGACAATCCCTTAAGGGAGGCTGCATCTGAAAATGTCTTGTCAGTTTCAGAGTGTACAGTGTCTGTGACAAGCCACGCTGAGCATGCTTCTCAGGACGGAAACATCCAGAACTTTCATAGCCCAGAAATCCCAGACTAAGCCAAAGATTCCACACTGGATCTTCATCAGACAAAGCCTTGAAGACAAGGGAGATGCTTCTCGTCACCTAGTTTTGTCTGCTCCAGCTCCAGGCATAACCAGGATGTACTTTCCCAAGACCCAGGAACTGGACAGTATCCAGCTACCCCCAGCCCTACACGTGCCGGGTCAGCAGTCCCTCTGTCTAGAGGAGCCAGGAGTCACGTCAGTGCTGGCTAATGGCAAACTCAACAATATTTCCATCTTTTGTCTTTGTATAAGAGCTAGAGATATCTGCTTGCTCCTCCTGTAGCTTATCCTATGAAAATTCTAAGCCTGCCATTTTCTCTAAAAAGTATCCTAGTAGCTTTATCTGTTGATGCAAAACATAAGACACCTCTAAATGATATTCTGAGGACTTAGTAACTTTAAAAATTTGTTACATGGGATTTTATTTAATTTTTTTGATAGCTTAGTTTATTTTCCATTTGTTTATGATTTCTAATACAAGAATTTAAGGCCATGTTTTTCTCCGAATCTGCATCTAACGGGCTTGGATATATAAGTCTCTCGTAATCCTTAATTTCTAAGGCATTCGTAATATCAATTTAACTTCATCTTTAATTCAAGAGTTATTTAAAAGTGTGTTTGTGGTTTTGTTTTTAAGAGAGTTTTAAAATTGAAATGCAATACCAGAGTGCTTTGAAACCAGGTTTTTCTAGGCTTAACCTTACCTCTGAATCTAACCCTAACACAAAGCTTGACCGTAGCTCACATTTCTTGAGCCTGATTCCAGAGAAAAGAAGACCTAACTGCTCTTCTATCCACTGACATTTTTGCAATGCATTATGGATTATCTGTAATCTGGCATGTCACCCTATGAAAATATGCTTCAAAACCAAAAACAATGGTTTTGTTTTATTTTTATAGTGGGTGGGTTGCAAAAGGCCAGAAGGAAATTCTGTTTCTAGGCTGCTTATTTTACTTGGAAAGGGAAAATGCCTCTCTAATGGGTGTCCTTGAAGGCAGTCAAAGCCAAGAAAAAGCATTGCCAAGTTTAAGAGTAAATATTCCAAAAAGCAATATTAGCAAATTATTTTCAGGAACAATGTCCACTACCACCATAATTATTTATTAAGGTTTGGGGTCCTTGGTCATTGTAACATTATAACTATAGAGGAAACCAAATAAAATGAATGCATACAGTAAAAGGAGAAAAATACTCTTCACAGATAATAACAATTGAATATATACAATTACTTCAAAGCAGCTTAAGTGACTTTAAAAGACAAATATGGAAAAACCAATAGCACCTGAGTATTGATCTTATTCACAATAGTATCAAAAATGTTATAAACACAGAAGTGATTTTGAGAAAATGTGCAGAATATAAATAAAACCTCCAAGGTTTATAGGAAGTCATAAAAGACATCCATTTGAGAAAAGAAAACTATTTCTAGATGCACAGATGAATAGTCCAAACAGACTTTTTATGAATTTGGCAAAAACAATTTTGAAATCTAACTGAAAGAATAGTTGACATAGACTTCCAAAAGGACTGCGTGAAAAATAAGAGTAAGAGGGAAGAAGTTTGCAGTCCCAGAAGATATTAAAAAATATATTTTAAGAAGAACATTCATTAAAACATTAGAATATTGGCTTAAAATATGACAGAGAGAGACTAAAGGAATGCAATGCAGAAACCTTGCGCTAAAGACAATCACATACAGAAATACAGACAGTCACCTGTGGAATTTGCCATTTTCTAGTAGCTGCATTTAACGACAGCAAAAATAAATAGGTGAAACTAATTTTAATAATATGTTTGATTTAACCTAATATATCAAAATGATATCATTTCAACATGTGATCAAATGAAAAAATTATTTATTTTATTTTTTGAGACAAGGTCTCACTCTGTCACCCACACTGGAGTGCAGTGGTGCAATCACAGCTCACTGCAGCCTTAACTTCTCGAGCTCAAATGATCCTCCCACTTCAGCCTCCCGAGTAGCTGGGTCCACAGGCACACACCACCACACCCAGCTAATTTTTGTATTTTTGGTAGAGTCAAAGTTTTGCCAGACCCAGGTTGGTCTCAAACTCCTGAGCTCAAGCAATCTTTCCACCTTGGCCTCCCACAGTGCTGGGATTTACAGTTGTAAGCCATAGCGCCAGGCCTTGAAAAAATTATTTAATATTAACACAATACTTTACATTCTTTTTTTGTACTAAGTTTTGAAATTTGTACTATCCACATATTTAATAGCCACATGTGGCTAGAGGCTATGACCTCCTCACAGCATAGATTACAGGTAGGGAATGCTATATGTTATTGAACAGGCATCAGGAAAGTCATGGAGAAGGACATAGATATTTAATAAATGACATATGTCCTTATAATGATTTGTAAAATGCAGAAGTATATCACGATGAGTTAAAACCACACCATAGGTCATCTGACAAAGTAAGATCTCGATGGAGTAAATCAAACTATTTAAAAAATTAAAAAACAAAAAAAGCTTACAGTAAGCCAAGCAGTGTCACAACTTGAGTGGACCTGGGTGGGAGTCCTCCTGGTTCCAGGAAAAGCAGGCCTGCAGAGAAGGAGGAGAAGGCAGGGACATCAGACACTGTGGAGGTGAGTGGCCTGTGTGTGGGCAGAGCCTGGGGAAGACAGCCAGGGGTCCAGGACCCAGTAACCAAAGGCCAAGAGGCCAGTTCTAGAGTGATTCAGACAGCGGGTGGGATCAGGCAGGCCTGGTAGGCTGAGGCAGTGGAGCAGAAGTTTCCAGGAACTGGTCCAATTTGGAAGTGCAAAAGGGTGTTGGCCACTGTTGGGTAATCTATCCACAGTGGACAGGTCCCCACCCATGGAAGCTCCACCAAGGATAGCTGGAGTCGAGCCTGGGGGAGAAGGTCTTGGTGAAGTCAGGATGTCCGAAGAACCATCAGGGTCGTGTGTGCAGCTCCAATCGCAAAGGGAAAGTGGGATCCCAGAGGCTGCAGACACACAGTGCTGTCAAGTGGGACAACAAGGGGACCGATAACTGCAGGAGTGGAAGACGCTGCCATGGGCTGAAGAGCGTCCCCTCCAAACTCACGTGTCGAAGTCCTAAGCTCAATACCTCCCATGCGACTGTGTTTGTAGACAAGGCATTCAAAGAGGGAACTAAAGTTAAATTAGGCCATTGGGGCGGATCCACTAAGAGGAAATCTGGACAGAGGTAGAGAGGGAAGATCATGTGAAGACACAGGGGGAAGAGAACCATCTACAAACCAGGAGAGAGGCCTCGAGGGAAACCCACCCTGTCGCCATCTTGATCTGGGACTTCCAGCCTGCAGAATCCTGGAGAGAATGAATGTCTGTTTGAGCCACCCAGTCTACAGTGCTTCATTACGGCAGCCTGAGCTGACCCCACAGATGCTAAAACTGCAGAATGCACCAGTGAGGCCCTCGTCCCCACAGCGCCATGGTAGACCCAGGCCTGGTGTGCGGGAAGGGAGCAGCCCTGCGGCTGGGGCGGGCGAAGCACTCGGGAGCCTCTCCGCTGTGTCCTGCGCAAACCGCTTGCCCACTGAGGGACTGGGAAGTCATGTTGAATCCGCTCCTGGAAAGACTCCATTCGACTCGGTGCAAGATGGGACCCAATGATAGAGATGCCAGATAAAATACAGGACACCCAGTGACATTTGAATGCCAATAAGCAAAGCAAAAAAAAATTTTTTTTTTTTTTTTTTTTTTTTTTTTTTTTTTTTAGTGTATGCCTCAAATATTCCAGGGGCATGCTTGTTCTAAAAGTTATTTGCTATTTATCTGACATCCAAATATAAATGACTATCTTATCATGTTATTCTCTAAATTGGACAACCTTGGCCAAAGGATAAGGAAAGGGCCCAGCCCAGCAGGTGTAGCAAGGAAGTGAAGAGGAAGATAGAGGGGGAGCCCTGACCCGGGCGGGGGCTGGGGTGTTCACCAGAACCACCCAAGGGAGAGGATGTAAAAGTAAAAGACGAAAGTCAATGAAATGTTCAACAGATTTAACTATATCAACATTTTATAACTAACACTAAAGGAAATAAGAAAAAATAACAGACTAGGAGAACCATTACAACACTCTGAAAAAGCCGGTATGAATATAGAATACTCATTTCAACTGGTAAGAAAAATATCAAAATCTCAGTAGGCAAATAGGGAAAGGATGTGATAAATAATTTGTACAGAAGGCTGTACAATTACCAAACAAATCTGAAACAGTATTTCTGTCCTTTTAAGAATTTTTACATGCAAATTCTTAAAAAATTAAGAATAAACTTTCACTTTTTAAAAATAGGACTTAAAATTTAAAATTATTTAGTGAGGATGTGGTTCCACTGATAATGGCCCTTCTGGTAGTGGAAACTCAGCAATATGCTAAGTGGAGTTTCTTAGTGGAAACTTAGTAACATGCTAAGTGGAGTTTCTTAGTGGAAACTTAGCAACATGCTCATACTTGTTGACCCAATAAAATGACTCCTGGGTTTTGCCCTAAGAGTAATGACTTAAAATAAAGACAGGAAAAAGGATACGAAATAGTGTATTATTCCATTACTCTGACTATACCATTATGAATACACTTGAACGATGACTGGAAAGAAATACACAAAAAAGCATTCGATGTGAATATATTCTTCTCTTTAAGATTTCCTTGGGTCATTAGTATATTTTTATTTTATAATTACCAAACATTAAAGTAAAAAAGCAGTTTCTTTTTTGCTTACAAAGACTATTGACTAAGGTGTGCTCTGTCAGAATTCCTCCTGGCTCGTGACCTGGGGACGGTGGGAGGGTTGGCCATCAGAGACTCTCAGACCAGCTCAGGGGAGAATTCCATGAGCCTTCTTTTCTACCTGACATCAGAGTCTGTAGGTCCAAAGCTTTGCTGGCTATCCAGGCTTTCCCTAAAGACTTTCTCTGACTAAAGGTTCAATGCACTATAGGATATTTCCATTCAATGAGATAGTATTTTTTTTTTTTTTTTTTTGAGATGGAGTCTCGCTCTGTCACCCAGGCTGGAGTGCAGTGGTGCGATCTCAGCTCACTGCAACCTCCGCCTCCCGGGGTCAAGCAAGAACCTGCCTCAGCCTCCTGAGCAGGTGGGATTACAGGCACCTGCCACCACACCTGGCTAAATTTTTGTATTTTTAGTGGAGACGGGGTTTCACCATATTGGTCAGGCTGGTCTTGAACTCCTGACTTTGTGATCTGCCTGCCTCAGCCTCCCAAAATGCTGGGATTACAGGTGTAAGCTACCATGCCCAGCCAATATAGTAAATTTTATTTTACAGTTTTTTTTTTTAACCTGGACTATTAATGTCTTGCACTCACTCTTCACATTGTCACCGGATTCCATAGACTGGGTGGCTTACACAACAGACATCGATTTTCTCACAATTTTGGGGGCTGGAAGTCTGAGAGCATGGCATTAGCAGGGCTGCTTTCTCCTGAGGCCTCTCTCCTTGGCTTGTAGATGCCGCCTTCTCCCTGTGGCTTCATATGGCCTTTCCTTTGTGTGTGTTCATGTCCTCATCTCTTCTTATAAGCACACCAGTCATATTAGATCAGGGCGCATCCTAACAGCCTTGTTTTAACTTAGTTATTCCCGTAAAGACCCTATCCCCAAACACAGCCACCTTCCAATGTGTTGAGGGTTAGGACTTCAGCATGTGAATTTTGGAGAGGACACAGTTCAGCCCATAACGATCCCTGAGATCAGAAGAAAACTTCTCCGTTACTGGCCACAAAGCTGCAGAGGAATATCATATATATCTATTTACAGAATCCTAACTTGTCCTATAAGCAAGAGAGTCATCAAACCTTCCAACAACCCCCAAGACAAATGTGCTAGAAGATCCTGACTAAACTGTCTGGGTAGTCTGGGAGCAGCAGTATTTTATCGCAGGATTCCTGAGATTTTTGGTTCAAACCTGACAGTGCCCCTTGGGAAGGGAAACCCCAGCACACACAGGCCTCTGATGTTAGCCCAGCCCAGCGCCCACAAGCACATCTCCATCTCAGGGGCCTTGGCCCCATGAGGGTCAGGGTGAAGTCTCCTTGTCTCAGTGCCTGCAGGGATGCTGGGTGATGACTTTTCTCTCTGCCTTCCTTGGGGCCAGGTCTGGAAGCCCAATGCCACTTCTGTGCGACCTGCAGAGAGGGCTGTGTCATCTTCCCTGGGTCCAGGGCCACGTTTATGTTTTCTTTATATTGCCACAATGCATCTTAATTCCCATCTGCATGCTCAGCTAAGGCGAGGCCCGCCCCAGCACACCACCTCACTCTGATGGGCTCCCTGGCCTCTGACCGCTGCACAGCCGGTGTCCTCCTGTGCCTCTGGGACACGCAGCATGGACTCAGGCTGCTCCCCTCTGCGCTCGCCTTCCTGAGCTCCCCCACTTCCAGGGGCCCTGAGCATGCTCTTAGGCTAGTGTGACATCATTCATGACAGCAGAGTGAGAGCTCAGATTCATTGTCTTTTCTTTCATGCACTTCATCTTTCAGCCATGTCAAGAGCTGGTTGGAAATGCAAGGTATGGTAGGAGAAATCTGTTCAGCTATCTCTGGAACAAATAGAAGGAAGTGTGTACTTTGACAGCCACATGTAGGTTCTTGTGATGTCCAGCCCCCTCCTCCCCTTCAGGGTGTGAGGCAGGCACACCCCTGTTTGGGACACATCAGTGTATACTGATCTATCAAAACCCAATGGGCCTTAACGCGGCTCAGGCAACAAATGCCTCAAGCACCCTGTAGAGTTTGTGCACAGCCTACTGTCACAGTGGGATTACACCGTGGGGCGGATGCCTCTTTCAGAGGAGATGCAGCCAACTCTAGCGGGTGTTTATTCTCAGAAGAGGTCAATAGATGTTATGAAACACTTGCAGCTGGGGGAAGAGATTCCAAAACACATGGCAAGCAGCACGGCTCTCGCTGCCTGTCGGTATCACGGGGCAGGACGAGGCATCTGTCCTTCTGGACAGCATATGTATGATAGAAAATAAAGTCACCCTGTTTGTTCTTAGCACAGTCTGAGCAACACTGCAGAAGATCCTCTGAGAATCTGAGCAGACGGCTCAGGGTAATGCTATTTGACTTCCTCTAGGGCCACCCCAGGAAGTTCGATACAACACCATCAGCGCAGCTCTTCTCCACTGTCACCTTATCACGGATATTTGAAAAGCAACTTGAGGCCGGGCGCGGTGGCTCAAGCCTGTAATCCCAGCACTTTGGGAGGCCGAGACGGGCGGATCACGAGGTCAGGAGATCGAGACCATCCTGGCTAACACGGTGAAACCCCATCTCTACTAAAAAATACAAAAAACTAGCCAGGCGAGGTGGCGGGTGCCTGTAGTCCCAGCTACTTGGGAGGCTGAGGCAGGAGAATGGCGTAAATCTGCGAGGCGGAGCTTGCAGTGAGCTGAGATCCGGCCACTGCACTCCAGCCTGAACGACAGAGCCAGACTCCGTCTCAAAAAAAAAAAAAAAAAAAAAAAAAAAAAAAGAAAAGCAACTTGAAATGCTTTGCCCTATCTTTATTGGACTATAAGCTCTGAAATTATC